TAATAACGACCGGGGGTAAATGATCGGCATAATATACCATCCCCGATTTGTATTTAAGGTATTGTGGAGCTATGTCAAGACTCCTGAAATCTGAAACTGTCGGTTTCTGGTGTTTCACTATGTAACTCCGACCAGTTGAGAATCAACTGATGGAGCAACCGCTTTTTGGATGATTGTAACGTGCTATTCAGGTGATTTTCTGGATCAGTTGATAATCACTCGTTGATTAGGTGGTGAAATTGGGTGATAAGCAACCCAAATTATGGCCGTTCACTTGGTTTGTATAACAAAATTTTTGATAGTTACTGGCGATTCGCCAAAACCTTTCCTAAACCATTAGCCTCTATAAATATCATTTCAGTGTTAGTTAGGCTATGTTCGGTAGCGTCATTTTGCAGATGTCATGGCATTAGAACATTGTCGTGCTGGGTGGCTTGATAATGCTGAGTTGTAACTTTATTGTGCCAGGTGGCTTAACGATGCCGAATGCCGAACAGGCTGATCATAGGGTGATACAGAATTGGGCGTCTTTGAAGGTAGAACACCTGTATTGATACCATCAATTTACCCACCAAACAACCCTATCGATGGCACGAAGGCCAGCCAGCAGCAGGCTTTCCAAGCCCCCACAATGGTACCCTCTATGGTCATTGAAAATGACAAGCATCAACGACACAAGTAATCAAACAACTACAAAGAAGAAAAAGGGGCCAAAGGCCATATGGACTGGAGCAGATTTGAAGAAACTCATGGATATTGCTGTAGAGCATCGAGGGCTTCTTGGAGAGGGGGGGAATTTTAAACCCCAGTTCTACACTGCTGCTGAAGATGTGTTAGGGCCTATGACAACAAGAGGAGCCAAGTGGTTCAGTGTCAGTACTCTAATGTCCATCATGCCATGGCCCGTACTGACAAGCCTGTTACCTCAAGAAGGAGCTTACTTGTGCCGGAGACTTGTTAGATACGCCTGGGCTCAGTTTTAGCGTTGAAGCGGGCTTGAAGATCACAAATGCGAACCAACATGTCTGGGATACGCTTCTCAAGGTAAGTAGCATCTAATTTCCTATTCCCACACATGAACTCACCATTTCCAGAGTAAAAACAAAGAGACGACAAAGGCAATTATCATCCATTTAGCTGCAGATGGATGTAAATGGTATGATAAGATTGCAGGAATTTTACCCAGCCAGGTGAAAGGAACTCAAGTGTTTCGAGCCTCACAAGCACAGTCTAATAAGGCACCCACCACATTGCTGAGGAAGGAGGCTACAGTTTTGGATGGAGAGATAGAAAACAATGACAACAACAATGACAAGGAGGAGGAGGAGGAGGATCATGGCGGCAAGGGCATGGCTGTGGATGGGCGGAAGAGTGCCAGCAATTCTGGTACCTACCTGGATACAAGTAGTGCCCAATCCAAACCTATCAGCACGTCTATGAGTGTTACATTGTCTGGGAAACAAAAATACTCAGCCGTCAAATCCATCTCTGTAGTCTCAGCCACTCCCAGCAAAACCCCGTGCTCATCAGATGCTGCTGCCATTAATGGCTTGAAAGAACAAGTCCAGCGGATGGTGGACAATCAGGGCAAGCATGATGAAAAACGTTACAAGTACAAAGATTGACTCGCCACTGCTTTAGAGCGTGCCTTCACAGGCCAAGCAGCTCAGCCAAGTTCTTCAGCTTCGGCTGCTCCTACGCAGTCATCGGAACCTGCAGCTAGCTGTTACAATTGACATACCAGCACCTACTCACACTTCACTTTTTTGTACTTTTATTTTTCATTTTCCAAGTCACATGACCAGTCATGTTGTTACCATAACACGTTTTCAGACCTTTAAATTTCATTCTCCCCTTTAACCTTTTACTATAGTTTTCATACACAGTGCCACGCGGCACTTTGCTTTTGTTCAAACTCCTCTTTCTCATGCCGCGCTGCCTTTCTTCTTATTTTAGATACAAGTATCTCATGTAGTGGAGCTGGTCACACGGGCTGTGCCCATGACATCACCAGCCACTGCCTTCATCAACTGTATAGTACATATGTACAAACAAACCTGTAGTAGTATAAGTACCCTAATAGATCAAGGAGACTCCTCAGTGAGTCCTCCTGTTGTCTAGCACAACTAACTTGTTGAAACCTAAGGGGTGATCCCTTCCTTCTCTCTTCTCATATGCTTGTCTGAGTTGTGCGCCAGAGTAAGAAACTCTTGGTCATCACAGCGGCAATAAGGAGCTTAGCCATCAAGACTGTGGGGCAGCTGGAGGTGCAGCTAAATGACAAAGGGAAAGTGGCTTTGATTGATATGTTGCGCGTTGATAGTGAGCTGGTCTCCAATTATTTGGACATGGCTACACAGGAGCCAAGCCTTCAGATGACATGAGTGGGTAAGCTGCTGAGGCAGAACACTGCATTTCCTCTTGAGCACCTCTAGCCGTATTTGTTTTTGGACCGTTTTCATACCGCAAGTCGTTGCATCTGTATTATGCTGTAAAGTTGTTACAATTATGTTTTGAAATGAGAAGCATTTTCTGTTATTTGCGTGTTTACAAATACATGACAAGAAAAAATACCGGCAACAATCATACAGCACCCCTAGCCTGCAACTCAGCACGGTATGACGTCCACATGTCCATTGCTATTCTGTCGCGGCGCATATTGGCTTCAAGTCAGTTTGGTTCGGTTGGCGGCCCATCAGACAAAGAACTGGTGCTGACCAATGAAGGCACAGCTTTAGAGAATTTGTGGATGTTGTTAGGATCATGCATCCAGATGTAGTTGTGCAGCATGCATAGGGAGGATGGGATGCGAGCCTGTATGTTCATATCAAATTCGGGCGGACAGAGGAGGGTCCGAAAACAACGCTTGAAGATGCCAAAAATGCGCTCAATACAGTTGCGCGCTTGAGCGTGTTGCAAGTTAGAGAGCTCTTCTTTGCTCCTGGGCCTGTTGAATAAATAGTCAGAATTAGTATAAAGAAGAGCAAAGTACTCACCTGAGCCCCACTCGACCCCACTCAGCTAAATGATAGTGTTCTCCTTGGTAAGGAACCAAAAGCTGTGGGGAAGAAGCAAAACCAGCATCTGCCAGGTCATATTTACCGGCAGAACACAAAGATCATGTGGCA